AGAGGGTAGGCAAAACTAAAGGGAAACACTATGTAAAATGCACTTTTTACTGACTGTTGAACATATCTGAAAGTGTCTGAGTTTAAAATTTGACTTGAACACCGCAGAGGAAAATGACTAAATTCATTTTCCTACTTGGGTTCCCTCAAACTCTGAAAATGAAAAAGTTTTTACAATTCAATAGCAGATTATATGAACATATCTCCACTACTTTGGTGGAAAGAACACACTAAAAATTCTAGTTACCAGGAGCATATGCTGCAAGGAATTTGGACAACTGTCCATGTATCCTAACATAAAGATGTCTTCATCCCAGGTGAGAATTAACCTAAAACACTCACATCTGATCTCCCCAAATTTAGTCTCTCATTGACTAGTAAGGATAGATCCAAATTACTTCGCCACATGTTCATGCACTATGTTATATGTCATTTTACATTAAATCTTTTTTTTAATGACCAGCATGCCCTTTGAACTTAAGGTTATCTGGACTATGAAGATTGAAATTTATACAACATCAATATTACACATAAGAGTCTCAAGTTCATGTGCAGTTCTTCAATTTCTATTCATTTAGTAGTGGAGGGAACACAGTGTAATGATTTCGAGCGATTGCCTGTTTATTAAGAAAGAGAATATTTTTCAGGCTCGTGGACCCTGGGGGATGCATCAATGAAGCTAGTGAATGGTAGAAAAACAACAGTGCCCTAGTTTACTAAATTTAATGAAATGGGAGTTTGTCAGTGGACTCAGAGACTACTCAAAGGAATAGTTAGTTACTAGAGGGCAGGAGGAAAATTTTCTTTTTATGTATCTTGCATGTTTGTAATAGAGACATATTTTGTATTCTGAGCCTGGAAGAAAGAAAGGATACCTGATGGAGGATGAGAACCTTCTTCTTAGTCTGGGCATTTTCTATGGATGTGACCGAAGTTGGATGATGAAAAGACACATGAGATTAGGACAAGGATGCACTCATCATCGTCATCAACCTTCTTTTTACTTGAACTCAGTCAGGACTTACAGCTCCTTGTGACAGTGTCTTAATTATTAACATAGCACAAACGTTCACCTTGCTGCCATCATGAGTCAAAAATAAAACTAACCACCATCTCACTTCGGCCGATTTCTTAAAATTCTTCATATTGCTCCAAAGTCATATCATAAATCCTGAAACTGGCAAAAACACAATGGCCAAAAATCAAGCGTATGATAACAAATCCTAAATCTTGACACAAAAAAATGAAGTCTCTCGGGAAAAACATGTCAAGTGGTTGTTTCTTTTACTCCTGTACTGGACTATTTTTTTAGTTTTGTGGTGGGAAGCATGATTAAACCCAAATCATAAAGAAGTTTCATGAAATGAGGCATCATGCCAAGTCAGACTTCACAATCTTCCAAAACTATCTTTTGAGTCAACTATGACATGAGTGAACTAGCAGAGTAATAAGACTTGATTCTTATTACTTTGCCATCATACCAAATTTTCCCTCACTATAAACCAAGTCTCCCACAAAGTCCGGTCACGTCAGAAGAGGAATTGCCTCTGCTTGTTAAAAGACGATAATCATTCCCTGAATTTTCATGACTCTCGGGTAAGGAATCACAGGCCTAACAATGCTGACGAGATATGCGCTTTATGTAACTGTCAGCTTCTGAGAATATGACCTAAATCCAAACATCAATAGCTTTTCAGGTGATGGATGTCTTTGAGACTCACATCCAGGAAAATACAGTTTGGCACACATGCACAATTTATTCTGGAATTTCAAGGACTTCATTATTTCCTTCAGTCCTTTTCATAGACTCAAAGTGTCCTTGAACCCAAGTTCCATTGTTCAGGATAATCAAAATTTGATTCTTAACGGCTTTCTTTGCTCAGAACAGTCAAGTGGGAAGGGTTCAGGAGAAGGCCAGGAATAGCTCTGCTTCCACCGACAAGCTCCTCCTCTTAGGGAAGTCAGTTGCAACATCAGCTCTTAGTAATAACTGTGTATATTGTGAAAGAATGTGTTCAGTGATGGGGACTATGTGCCCGTAGGTAGGATTTCTGACACATTTAGTAATATTCCACCTCTCTTGATCAACTACGACAATGATGGGAATAATGACCAAGCACATTCAGATCAGAGACAGTAAGGGATTTTCCTCTTCTGTGCCTGTGCATTCTCTTATTCCTTTCATTTGTGTCACTTTGCACACCGACAGTCTCCTTTTGAATCTCACTAAGCTTTCTTCTGAGACCAATGACACACTTAAGCTAAATAGAGAAGAGAAAGAAATGAAGCACAAGATAAAAAAAAATTCTTCTTGGTAAAAGGAGAACTAGGGTATCATTCCAGTACCAGAGCATAATTTACAAATGTATGAATTCATGTTTTCCTAGAAATGGTGATCTTAATTTACATAAATGGTATCTGTGAAAGTTAATGACTATCTAGGATAAACAAAACTCACTTGGAGTTCAGGGGTTGGCTCTGAGTTAATATTTGCTCTTGTTACAAAATGCTAAGTAGTAATGAAATAAGGAAGAAGCCAGTGTCTAGATATTAAGATTAAGCCAATAGGGTTCAAATACACAGATTATAAAGAAAGTAATAAACACAAAATGGTTGAAGGTTTGAACAATCAGGTGTTCAGCTATGGAAATATAGTAGTTTCAGGTCTCTTAACTCATTGTGTTTGAGATTTATTTCACAGAATTGATCTAAACTTAAATCAGCTGGCTGCCTGAGATACAAATTTCTTCTCCGCTCATAGGAAACCTAAGCAGTGAATTACAAATTAAATAGTTAAGGATTTGAGCACCAGTATACAGGATAGGACACTCGTAGGCAGCAAGGAGTAGTTACATTAAAGAACCAGATGGACTTTGAATCCATAACACGTCACTCAGAGCCCAAGCAGTGAATTATAAACAACAAGCAATACCAAACATCGCATGTGTCCAAGTCCAGAAGCCCATTCTCTCCCTCAGCCTGGCTAACACAGTCCCACTTCCAACTGTGTTTCTACAGCTACAATAGTCTCATCCCCCACCTCCCCCACCGAAAAAAGAGAAGGATGAAACCTAAGCACTAGGGAAAATACATTTTTTCTTTTTTTATTGTGAGTTCTAACATAACTTTTATTAAACATAGAGCACGTGAACACATGACAGTTGCCTTCATTTGTTCTCACATGGAGCTGATAGAGGAATGCTTGGGAGGAATGTTTCTAAAGCCATAAATAGCTTCTTCTCCATTTATTTTCTTTTTTAAAAAATATGACAAAGCATTAGAGGAAAAAAAGTTCCTTAAGTTGTGAGAATATCAAATATTACCCATCAATCCCTGAATCATGCTATTCAAAGTGCTTAAATCTACACTAAAAATAGAACAAAAAATGTACTCCCAATGCAGCTAAATTAACACCTATGGATGCCTAAAATATGACTGTGGTCTGATTACTTCCTCTACACACTTCCATCGTGCACTTAAAAAAAAAATTAAAAAAAAAACCAAAGAAATAAACCAGGCCATTGCCATGTTTACAGTTTTCTGAGCACTGGGGGAGTCTGGAATCCAGTCCAGTGAGGTTCGCTGCCACCAGTCCCTGACAGGTGTCCATAGTACAAAGTAAACAACGGCCTTCTTGGATTCTGAAAATAACCCAATGTGCAAAGCTGACAAAGTTTATGTGTCCTTGCAGCTTCAGTTCTGGCTTGTGAAAATGTGACACAGGTCCTGGGGGAGCATGGGAATAAAGAACAGATTGTAGAGAAGGACCCCGGGTGACTTGTCAGGGAAATAAACATTTTTTAAGCAAATAAAAATCACTGCACATCCCAAGGCTCCTTTACCTTGTCACACAAATACTGAGACCTTCACATTGTTGCAAAGTTCTTATGCTCATCTCGGTACATTTGCAGTTCAATCTTACCCTCCCAATGAACTCTTTTTGAAGTTTACACTTTTGCGTGTGTTTGGCCAACTCACACGTTTAGTATTGTGACCCAAACTGTAGAATTGTTTTCTCATTATATGGTGGTAGGAATAAACCGAACATACAATAGTCACGACACGAGCCCACAGGCGATGACTGGCATGGAAGTTCCTACAAGGAATCACTACAGGAATGTATAAGTTCTATATCAGTGTTTTCATCACATTGATTTCTTTTTAACTAAAAGCTACGTAGGTAATATTTCCCTTTAACAATTCCACCCTCTGCAAGTTCCTTGATGACTGATTTTGCATCGTCTTCAACATGAATATGTATTAGCTGCTTATGCCATTGATTTCAAACATAAAGCTAAATGGTAAGGGTTGAATTTCCTGGGAGCATCAGCTTTCTGTTTCTGAAAGATAGAATTACACAGTTAAAATAAAACGAATTATTTATACAGTAAAATTATTTTAAACACTTTCTCATCTAATTTAAAAACTATTTTGTGTAAATAATATTTATTTTGAAAATAGTGATTTCTGTTGGTACTCATATGTTTGACCTCCTGAGTTCTTATATAAACACTTTGATATTACTAAGTGTTGCTTATGTTCACAAACTGAAACCAAACACTTGATTCTGAATGTAGCGTTGAAAATTAAATACAGTGAATTAACATTTAAATACAAGGGGATCCCATAGTAAGTTTCACAGATTTGTTCTGACTCTTTAGAAAATAACATTTCGTATAATACAAGGTGACAAAACATATTTGATGACACATCCTGTCCTTCCCTTTGGTTTGGAAGCCTTCAATGTAAATTTCATTTAGACTTGTGTTGATTCACCCTTTTGAGTTAACCTGCCTGGCATTTGCACATAATCTCATTTGCAGAAAAATTATAGAGGGAAAAGAGGAAGTAGAATATTAAACAAAAACAGCCACAAACACATTCATGCCTTTCCAGGAAGTGATCAAATATAGGGCTTGATTTTTTTTGTGTTTTTTTTTGTGTTTTTTTGTGTTTTTTTGTTTTTTGTTTCTTTTGTTTTGTTGTGTGTGTGTTTTATATATATATATATATTTATATAAGGGTACATCAACTCATTTAAAAAACAGAAACAACACTCTCTCCCCCATTTTCAGGCCCTCGATCTTCTCTTCTTAGCACACTGTAGTGGTCACTGTCAAGTGACTAGCACACTTCTGGGTCTGGAGTGTATTCTGACGAGCAGTAAATTAAATGTTAAGACAGTTAGACCCACCCCCACCCCTCCTCAGAGTTTACACATCATGCCGCCATTAGAAGGGTAGAGGTGGGGAATGAGGTGGGACAAGGAAGAGATTCAGGGCTCTGATTGACGGGGCCCTCCTACGAACCAGTGTTCTTCTCATCTTTTTTTTTCCTCCCAAATGGCAATGCTGGCATTCGTTGCACTGCTCTCTGAAGGCCCACGTGGCCCTGCTGATCCTAGGCAGAACCCAAGAGAGGATCCGGTGCTCCTTGTCCCATCGGATAGATTTGTCCAAGCACCCCAAGGAAATGTTAAAAGCAAAACAAAATCAAGGAAAGAAAATAAAACCCATTCTAAAACTAAACTAATGAAGCAAAAAAGGGTTTTCTATCTATACATAAGTCTCTTCTTTAAAAAAATGTAAATTTACAAATTCCAATGACATATAAAACAAAGTCAAAAAATGTAATGGTAAGAGACATGGTAAAACAGGAAGACACTGATGCTACAAAGAAATTGCCAAAAACATATGTACAAGACCCTGTTTTTCCTCGTGTTCTAGAGATTGTAATGCATGTTTTTAACAGCAGCAGTCGAGGATTTAGTTCCAGGCACTGGGCTGTACACTCCGCTCAAGCTCCCAGGGACGGGATGTCCCTTGCTTTTCTGTCACCAAATCACACTGGATATACTGGTCTCCCTTGGCAACAGCGGCAGGATGGCACTGTTTGTGTGGGCCTCATCTGGATTCTGCTCCCTGCTCGATTTTGTCTGTGGCCGCTGCCCGTTGATGAGTGTCATAGGGATGTTACAATAGGTATGCTGATTTCCTATGGAGGTAAGAGGCAGGGTGCCGGTAGGAGGTACGTCGTACTCATAGCTTCGGTAGTAGTGTTTCTGACGCATTTGTGAATGGTACGTGTTGTGAAAGGTGGAACGGAGGTCTGGATGGGCAGTGGCTAGAGCTGTGGAGGTGGCCGCGGCCATGGAAATGGCCGAGACAGTCTGCAGCTCCCCAAAAGGCCCCTGCTCACTAACATCTAAAGCCTGCTCGTGCGTAATGGGTTCTATCCTCTTAAAAGGCATTTCATACTGTAAACGTTTCCAGAATTTAGAGTTCAACTTGTTGCATTTTGGTCCGTGCCATTTAATAACCGTCAGGAGCTTGATGGTGTGCTTGAGGGCTTCCACCTCCTGGTAGTTCATAATGCCTCGGAGTTCACTGCATTCAATGAGTATCACTTTAATTTCTCCAGTGACAAGCATGTTTCGAAGTCTGGTCTCCAGTTCAAAGATGCTCCAGCCCCTTCTGACTACATAATTTGGGGTCATGACAATAATCAGCCTCTTGCTTTGATCTACACACCTTGCCACATCTTCAATGTATGCTATAAAAGAGAAGAGAGCTTATCAGAATGACTGGATCAAACACCTGCTCCAGAAAGCCCCAGCAGCTTCTCTTTCACACATTACATGAGAATTGTTGCTTGCTAGGTCATACCTCAGAAGATGAAAACAGCCAATGACTGCACCGAATAGAGTACGGACTTTGCTTTTCTCAGCATTAGAAATACTTTTCCTAGGTACAAATCTCCCATTTGTTTTTTCAAATGTCAAGACTCATAAAAGGAGGTGCTTTACAGAATAGTGGAACTAGCTTCTCAGGGGCGTCAGAAATTAAATTTCATATGAACACATAATGACATTTCTTTCTTGAGACACTGATACTATTTTTGATGTAGAGAATCACAAGTTAAAATTCTGCCTAAAAATAATGATGACACACAGACAAAAAGAGTATGCACACTCTCAAATGAAAACATTAACTTACTTCCAGTTGGGATTAAATCTCTATCTGGTATGAACAACTTATATCCATAATGTTTTTCAAGCATGTCAGGTAGGATTTCAAGAGCAAAGCGTTCTTCTTCCCCAGTCTCTTGATTCCACTGGTCAGGATCCACTTTGGTGTATGATAAGTATGCATCATAATCTTTATTGTCTGTCAAAAAGATTACAGAGTAAAGTTGAAGTCACTGCTCTCCAAAGAAAACATTAGGACATGAAAACATTCAACTCTTTTAAAAAACATCTCTAAACGCCTACTTTGGGGAGACCAAAGAAAGAAGCTTCTACTAATTTTCAATAAGAATTCAATGATGTCAAATATTCTGGAATTCATTTGGAGGTATTTTTATTTGTTGGTTTTGTTGTTGTAAAGACAGTAGTAAAAAAATGAACAAAAAGAGCAATGGAATGTTAACTTTTAACATTTTTGATGTATAGGTCATGGAGAATCTTGACTGCTTATAAAAGGCACTTGGTTTAGGACACCTAGGTGGCTCAGTTGGTTGGACGACTGCCTTAGGCTCAGGTCATGATCCCGGAGTCCCGGGATCAAGTCCCACATCAGGCTCCCAGCTCCATGGGGAGTCTGCTTCTCTCTCTGACCTTCTCCTTGCTCATGCTCTCTCTATTAAATGAATAAATAAAATCTTTAAAAAAAAAAAAGGCACTTGGTTTGATAGCATGCTCTTACTCTAGGTAACTGTACATTCAACTAATCCTGTCCTTGGCCATTTTACTTTGTTGAAAAAAAAAAAAAAAAAAGAAAGTGCACCTGGCTTGACCACAGGGGAATGGTATTTTGATTGTGGGCACTGTACTGATTTTTAAAATTTCTTTTTTATTGTGTTATGTTAGTCACCATAAAATACATCATTAGTTTTTGATGCAGTGTTCCAAGATTCACTGTTTATGTACAATAGCCAGTGCTCCATGCAATATGTGCCCTCCTTAATACTCATCACCAGACTCTGCTGGGGAGAAAATAAAATCAAGCGTGGAATAATTACTTATCTACTGGGAACCAGTTCTTGGATTTTGGGACTTAGAATATTATTCCACTGAATTATATTAGAAAACCATATTGTTTTGTTGATCTTCATTTATCTCACATGTAAAATACTGCCAGTATTTTTTATCACTCACTAACATCTTATCAGTGATAAGATATCAGTGATATCTTATCACAACATTTTATCAGTTTGACCATAAGAATAAAACATTACAAAATAAATGAATGAAACTTTGTTCTAAAATCTGTTTCTGGGGCGCCTGGGTGGCTCAGTGGGTTAAAGCCTCTGCCTTTGGCTCGGGTCATGATCCCAGGGTCCTGGGATCGAGCCCCACGTAGGGCTTTCTGCTCAGCGGAGAACCTGCTTCCTTCTCTCTCTCTGCCTGCCTCTCTGTGTACTAGTGATCTCTGTCTGTCAAATAAATAAATAAAGTCTTTAAAAAATAAAATAAAATTTATTTCTTTCCTTCTTCTTTCCCCCTTTTACATGGAAACTCTTCAAATATTTGATGATTGCTATCATGCATTATCTTGACCTTAATTTTTTTAACATTAAGCATCCCAAATTTCCTATTTGTGTTTCTAATGCAAATAAGCCATGTATCTTCTGGATAGTCTCTCATTCATCCATTGCCTTTTCAGAATGTGATATCAGGATTCATAATTCACCTCAAATCTAAATGCTACCAATATACAGAGTTTACCAAATATCAATCCTTAGCTCTCTTTTCTACTTCCTGGATGATTGTCGGTGTATTACTGAATTATCAGATCACGTTGAATTGAAACATCCCTAAATTTCAGAACAAAATGAGCTTTGTATTTGGCACAGAACATTTAAAACTTTGGAGTTATAAAACATCAGAAATAGAGGGATGTCCTTAATTGTTGCTCTGGGTGGCTTTGGGGCACTCCCTTTGACCTGGGGACACTAGAGTTCACTATCAGAGATCCATATAGGTGTGTTCATTTTAGTAGTCTGATAGTCCCCAGCCCTCTACAAGTTATTCTATAGTTAAAACTTGTTAGGGCAAATTCAGAAAATTGTTAACTCTATCTGAAGTTAACATAGGTATACAATAAACTAACAACAACAACAAAAAAGAAAACAAACAAAAAAAAAGAATTCAAACTCAGATCTAAAAAAAAGAAAGAAAGAAACTAACAACTCTGCTATAGGCTGTCTGAAAGAAAACCTTTAGGTATAGTAGATTTTTTAAAAAAGATTTTATTTATTTATCTGACAGAGATGACAAGCAGGCAGAGAGGCAGGCGGGGGGGGGGGAAGCAGGCTCCCTGCTGAGCAGGAAGCCCGATTTTGGGGGGGGGGCTCAATCCCAGCACCCTGAGATCATGACCTGAGCCGAAGGCAGAAGCTTTAACCCACTGAGCCACCCATACGCCCCAGTAGATTTTTTTTTTTAAATAGTTTTCAGATTTAAAAAAAAAAAAAAAGGTTTAGAAAAATAGGAATCATCCCAAACATGCTATACTCTGATATTTGCTATATTCCTTATTCTTCAACCAGGAAATAGCTTTTTATAGATAAAAAGCTATTTTATAAATAAAATTCAATTTTCATCAAAAACGATAATTGCATTTGCTACAGCAGGTCATGCACATATGCCAGCAGTCTATAGTGGTACAATTTTGTTGATGTAAACACTTTGGTTGAATAAGAAATCATAGAAAATAGTACATAATAAAGCTAGGATGTAAGGCCAGTTAATATTTAATTAAAGTGTCCATTCATTAGATATTCCTACATGCCATATCTGAGATATAAGACTTCCTTTACAATACCCATCAGTAGCTACCAGTCTAGTAGGAGATGTACACAAGTCAACAGTTTATTTCTAGGGGACAAACATGTTGCTAAGACTATTATAGGGGTCATGGACCAAAGGGAGGACTCCTTAAAACAGAGTGGATTGTAGAATGATTTCATGCATATACTATTTTCTTTCTTGGAAGTTGTTTTCTCCCAGTTTGCTACACAGTACTATAACATGTTGAAGTTTGCCCAGATCTGGGAAGTATAATAACCAGATCCTCATTCTTAGTCCTTTGTCTTCTCTAAGCTTAAAATATTTGAAAAGCAGATCAATATGAACACCAATAAGAACAGAGCACATATGACTCAGAAGAGATGCTAACAACTGACCTACTGATACTGGTAAGTTTCAGCCTGATATCACCATTGCTTACATGACACTGTCTGTTCCTCAGCCTCTTCCATGGATGTCTCTCTTCCAACTCAAATGCTTTATTTCTCAAGATGTTTTCTGTGCCTGCTTCATTTTTCTCTCAGCCCACTTTCCCTTAAAAATCTCCTCTTCTCCCATGACATTAATAATCACTTCTACGTAGCTAACTCCCTGATTTAGATGTGCAGTCCTATCTTCCTTCTCATGAACTACCAACCATATCTCTCTTTTACCTGTAACCTGGGCCCCTTAATTTGGATGCTCAGTGTGCACCTCATATTCAACATTCTCACAACATAACAAGCTTTCCATCTCAAGCTCTGTTCTTCACCTTTTATTCCACTTTAATAGCATTATAATTTCACTTCTTTAGTCTCCAAATGTCAAATATATGTTCCACTTATCCTTTTTAATTACTGATAATCTCACAGGCATTCACTGGTAAAAGTCCTTTGGATTCTACTTCCATCCTGGGTCAGGCCCTACTCCTTTCTTAGCTGTTATAAGTCTGTTTTAGTATGTCTTCCTCTCTGTTTCTTTCCACTTCTGGCCCATTCCACATGGAGCTGTAAAATTTATCTTTCCAATTCTCACCACTGATTATATTTATGGTATCCTGGAAAATAATGATGTTTACTCATTGTCAAAAAGCCACCAGGTAGATCTGTTTCATTGATTTCTTTTGATTTTGAGTCTGATATCTTTGACTTGGACATAATCTCTTTTCCCATGTATGGTATTATTGTGCTCACATCTTATCTTTTTTTATTTGACTACAATATCCTTGACTCAGATATCCCACCAGAGCTTGGAGATGATCAAACAGATTTGTTGATTAAATAAATGGATAATCTTTCATTTGCCTATTACATGACTTACGTTTTACAGCCAGTGTGGGGATTTTCTCAAGACCTGAGATTATTTTCTAGGAGAAATGGCTTTAGAGATATACACTCCATGTTGCCTGGACTCCTCAAGGAATTACTAGAAGCTATGGGGTCAGTATTTATCAAGTTTCCTTTGGAAGAGTCTTGAACTATAGTTTCTCACTATGAGTCAAGGGAAGACCTTAGAGACCTTATAAACTCCTTTGAAAAAGTGGTTTCAGACTTGAACACGAATGACAACAATTTGGAGGGATTGCTGAAATATAGATTGCTGGGCCCTACCTCCATAGTGTTCCATTCAATAGTTCTAGAGTAAGTTTTTGAATTTGCATTTTTAAAAGATTTATTTCTTTGAGAGAGAGAGAGAGAGAGAGAGAGAGTGTGTGTGTGTGTGTGTGTGTGTGTGTGTGTACGTACCCGGGCAGGAGAGGCAGAGGGACGGGGAGAGAGATTCTTAAGCAGACTCCGAGCTGAGCACGGAGCCCTACCTAGGCTTAATCTCATGACCCCAAGATCATGACCTGAGCCGAAATCCAGAGTCAGACACTTAACCAACTGCACCACCTATGAGCTCCAACAATTTGCATCTATAGCAAGGTCTCGAGTGAAGCTACTGCTGGTTCAGGGACTACACTTCGAGAAACTCTGCTCTAGGACAGGGTATAGGCATCCCGAGGGCTCAAGGGCATCAAAGAACTGCCTGCAGTTGTGGTTAATTGGCCAAAGAATGACAAAACTAATCACTGCAGTGTCAGATCCATGATAAGTGGTGCTGATACTTACAGGGGATGTACTCTAAACAAGAAAGCTGAAAATCCACACTTTCACCAAAAAGGAAGTAGATTCTTGCCTAGAGTAATGTATACATTAACTATATTAAGCTTAAATGAGCCTCAGGAATTGGTGCTAAGGCCTCAGTCAGTTTTTATATCATCTGGACAAATTTATAGTAGTTAAGCTGATATCTCTTCGATAAAAAGAAGTTGCTCACATGCAGATTATCTTGGTAGTAAATGTGGCTCAAAAGCCCCTTGTGAGCATCTGCGGCAGC